TGACAAATCAACTATAAAACTAATTTGAAGTTTTTCATTTCTTAACTGAATAGATTCCAAAGTATCAGTATTTTCATACTGTTCTAAAACTATATTATCGTTATTATTTTCTACAGTAGCATAAATAGTTAGAGCCAATGCACTATCACGTAGCTCACTTTTAGACAATTCTTTATCATAATATTTAAGCTTATTTTTAAAGTTAGAAATATAGAAAGAATAGATTTATGCTATGCTTTCAATTTTCTCATTAGATAATCGTGAATGATATATACTATACAACTATCATAAAACAGAAAAATTACGTTCACATCTTGTTTGTAAAGGTACAACTGCAAAAAGAATTTGTGCAAATTCCTGAAGGTAAGTGTATTCATTCTCAATTATACCCCACTACAAACTAGATGTTTTAGACGAATCATAACCAAAGTCAAATGGATAATCTTGGCATTTATAATGAATTAACTATGTAGTTATTAGTCAGCATGCAGTTTTGTTATTATAAATACTCTTATAAAATTTAACAGCTATTTCGCAAATTTTTTGGAACATTCCCTTATGTAATCCAAGATCTATATTTAGAATAAATCGTTACTAATTTTATTCAGGTTTTTTTTATATTAAAAATTAGTATACATACCTATAAATTAAAGTCATATTTTTAATCAGTAAAAAAAAACAAAAAAACAAATTAGTAATTTCTTACTACGTATCACTATAATAATAAATAATTATACGTATTACCATTACCTCTATACTCCGAATGGAGAAAATAGGTAAGTAAATATGGTTCAATATCATATTCAGCATATCGTTTATTGAATATAACAATAGCTAATTCATGAAATGTATTATTTGAAGAAATTCTATTAATGGTGGCAGCAATCTTTACTATACTAATAAAGCAATCAGCAAGAGTTGCAGTACGTGCTTCTAAATTATGAATTGCCTCTTTAATAGGTTGGATTATAGATGCAATTCTATGACAATTTGCATAAAATGTATCGTCGTCATCATTTAATAATGAAATTATTGCTAGTTTACTAATTGCATCTCGATTATATTCTAATATCTAAAAAAAATTATAATAATATGTAATAAATAAAAATAATAAATAGCAAATACGTTATATATACATATACGTACATACTGATACGTATATAAAAATAATAAATAAGGTAAAATTATATAATAAATAAATATAATACCTTATAAAAAACTGGTTTTAGTCTTACAATCGAAGACATAGTTTCAAAAATAGAAGCCCATATTGTTTCTACATAAGTATCTAAACCACCACTATCTAATTTTATACTTATTATACTGTCATAAAGAAGTCGACATACTCTATATGACTTTTTAAAATATTGAACAATTTGATTAGCCTGTTTTAAAACCTGATCAACAGATTTAATTTTAACAATATCACTTGCTATAAGATTTAATTCATAAGCGATGTATCTAATATTCCAAATATGAGAGTAATTTTGTGTTGTAATTTCATGAGCAATACAAATATTACCTCCATTATCTGTTATATAGGCTACAAATTTATTAGAACTGATATTATCAACAACATCTGAAATTTTAGACGCAAGAAATTCACCTATTTGCACTATATCAGATAAATCTAAAATATAATACAAATATTCTTTACGATCTGAAGTAGAAACAATAAAATTGCATAATAAGTCATTCGTTAGACTTGACCATCTATCAAGTGCTAATAAAAATATATTAAGAATACCATAATAAATAAATAAATAAATAAAAAAAAAGCAAAATAATTTATATATTTATCTAAAGTTAAATGCTGTGCTTTGTTAAGCAAATTATTTACCCGAATTGTTATACAAGCTACTTCTTCATCAAGTACTCATTCTGCTAATATGACTCTGCTAGGAGGAGTATAACCTGGTTCAATTATACTAAAAAGGTCACGAACGAATGGATTGTCAATTACAGAAAATGCAATTCCTACACAAACAAAAGCTTTGAGTAAAGCTTTATTAATTTCATTATTTCTTTCATTCGATATAGATTTAAAATGAGATGATAAAATTTTAGATGATGATAGTGTTGCACTTTCATTATCACTATTATTATTATCATTTCGTTCTGCAACTTTAATTAAATAATAACATCTTATATTTTCAGGAACTTCGCCTTTACAATGTAAAGCTAAATGAGACTCCATAATTGCAGGTCTTCCATGTTGCCATTTTCCTTTATTACAATATTTACAATTTGCACTGTAATAGCCTTTACTGTCAGATTCTCCAATTTTAAAATCATTCCAAACAGCTAATTTTGGTCATCCACCTTTATTTATGATGATCTTTCGAAGACCTGATTTATTTGTTTTTCATTTATGTATAATTTTACCAGATTGGGATGTTTGTGATATTTCTGAAAAACTTTCAAATAAATCATCTTCCATTATAAAGTTTTTATATAATTACAACTTATTACATGATAAATAGATTTTTATTAATTATAAAAACATCGAAGGTAAATTTATTTATTATAGGAATGTCAAAGTTAAATAGATTTTATACATTTAAATGACTAAAACTTAATAAAGAATTTAAAGTAATGAGAAACAATCTTTTAAAAAAAGGTCTGGCAATCTTAGTGTAGTGGTTAGGTTGCCAGACCGCCATGCAAGAGGTCTGGGGTTCAAATCCCACTGTCGACGAATTTGA